ATATCAGGTTGAGTGATATACGTTTCGATGCTCGAAGAAGGTGTTGATAAGAGATGTGAGTTGTTTCCATAAAGCCGCAACGATCTGATGCAGTTATTGTTCAGGTCTTTAAAACCGTCCTTTTCAGTTACACATTTACACTTTTCAATGTCCATTTAGACACGCGCACTGAAATCGCATTGAGCGTGCCCACTCTGAGCAGCCCATTACGAGATCCATTGTTTTCATGGCGTTTTCAGTGCACATGTCAGAGCAGACACTGAAGAGTGGAAAGAGCAGCACTAGCGACCTCAACAATAACCGCAAGAAGTTGTTGTAGTTTTAAGGAAACAACTGACATCTGTAATGAGCACCTTCCTCGAATATCGAAGCGTATTTGTCAATATACCTGGGAAGCTTGTGCCCGGAAGTCGATGATCGATATGATAATCGTGTCTTCTGATTTACGATGCTCTGTAATGGATGTTCGCCATAACGGAACAAGAAGCTGTCAACAAATGACCACACTGTGATCGGCACCCTCCACTGCAAACGATGATCTGGCGAAGACCTGGCGCCTACCGCCTGGCGCAGAAGCAACCAGGGAATCAAATGGGAACCATTATCTGTTGCAAACAACGTCGCACGACCGTTTGAGCTGATGCAACGATTATGGCGACCGATTTGGAAACAGAAAGGATGCTCTTTAATGGAAGCTTACCCGAGGCTGCCACTGAAGGCTACGACTAAAAAGGGTAGGCCTGCTGTCTGGAGGTCAGAAACAAACTTCCGGGAGAACATGAGAGGTACGTCTGGCTGTCACCGAGAAGAAGGCTGCATTCAACTGATGGCTGGGAAGCAAAGAGCTTTCAGCTAGCATTCTGTATGTAGAAGCTCGCAAGGCAGCAGGGAAATCATTGAGGAAAGGAAAGGCGATTGTATGAAAAAGAGAGATGCTGGACATGCGTAATCCGAGGCAGGAAACAAGGTATTCTAGAATACCATCCGCCGCCTCTAAGATGGAGTGGAGGGCCGTGTAAAAAATTAGAAGGAAAAGTCTGACCGCGTACTAAGGCGATGGAAAAAGTATCTTGAGGAACTTCTTGACCTCGAACAACCGCAGGAAGATTCGCCTGAAGAGTGACAGGTAACGGATATTAATCTTTCAGCAGATTAAGTCACAGAGTTGTTAAGAGCTTGAAAAGTGGCAAGGCGCTGGATTTATGCTATTTGAGATGCAAAAAGCTTTAGGCGAACAAGGCTTATTGTGGCTAACATATGTCCGTCAAACTAAAATGACTATGGGGAAAAACCCTTGTTGTTTAGGAATGAAGTGGCAGTACCACTGTTCAAAACAGACACTATATAGAATGCTCCAATTATCAGGGCATTACCTTACTGACCTTCCCGGGAAAAGCCTTCGAAAATGTGTTAAAAAAGAAGTGCCACGAAATAATTGACTAAGGTTCAAGAAGAGCAGGTGTCTTCAGGTCA